AGGTGATGGTCGCAGAACAAACGCTGAGAATACTACATGGTAAGAACATAACGTAGCATCTTCTGAGTTGGTTCCCAGCTCACCTTGGACAAATCAATGACTCCCCTCCCAATCTCAATGAAGCAGCGCACGAGGCGGCGTGAGACCTCTTCAACAACGCCTACCCGGGGATGCGTTCTAACAGGGAAGAGAATAACCGGGAAATTCTTACAACATATAACGAGCTCACTGAACACTTCTACCTATCTAGCAGGATTTTTCCTCCACTTCACAAAGATCTAACTCGGCCCTAAGCACTTCCAATAAGGCTTTTGCAAACGCGGATGTACCCTACTTTGAAAATGTTACGCATCATGTACCTTGACCTATACCCAAGTAATCTTCGCCCACATTATGGGTAAATAGCTTCATTAGAACATGTGCTCTGGCAGTGTAGCAAATTAGCTCATTTATGGAACATCACCTCTGCCAGATGGGAGGCAGCAATCCGCAGCTCGCCCTTGGAAGATCAGCTCTGGGCTGTCCACCAAGCCCGCGAGGCGGCTGAGGAGCTCAGCATCTCAGTCCCGACGTGGGAGCTGCCCACAACCCAGTGATTTGTGTTGTGAAGGACGAAATAAAGGTTTATCCAATCCAATCCAATCGCAAGCGGTAGGCAGAAAAGATAAAGGCGCACCCAAGGAGTTCCGCGAAAAGGAGCATGCTGAGGTAAAACTGCCTATAGCCGTGAAGGGTTAGGAAGTGGAAGGCATTGTTGAGCGACAACGTGAGCGTTTGTGCGTGGCACAGAGGCCACCGGATCCTTGAGAGCTGAGGGACGCGAGTGAATTGCACCTTTGTTGGCCAAAAGTTGGGTCAGTTAGCGTGTCATTCGAGCAAGGCGTGGAACTTAGCGAGGGTGAGTATGAACCCCAGCCGGCAGCAGCGTGTGCTGCGGGTACTTGCCCGGTCTCTGATCAGTCGGCCTATGCCTAAAAACGAGACCAAGACTGAGTCCACGAGATATTTAGTGAGAACTGGATGCCGTTCTGTGGCCAACCGAACGTGACTTCGGTGCGGCAACCAAAAATTCCTAAAGAAGAGAGATTAACTAGAAAGATCTCGCTTCCCCATATAATCGCTATGTGGGAAGTGAGGAGACTTCTCGAGTGGGAACAGTGTTGCGTGTTTCACTTAAAGAGTTACTTAGGGCGTGTCGCAGGTTACCTTTGTCGGGCCCCTGATGATGAAGAGCTTGCGGTAGTCAAGGGGTTGAGTGTGCCAACCATATGGATGGAGCTGATAGAAGTTTAGGGATTGTGTGGACACTACCTAAGCTACAGGCTAATTTACGCGGCGGAAACTCGGCTGTTTTCTGAGCGAACGGGAGAGAAGGTTGCGGACAACATCGCGTGGGTGACTGGTGCGCCTCGGTGGCATGGAGCTACACTGTGCGAGGCAGCGCTATTGATGAGAGTAGATCCCGAAAAGCCATATTAGCTCGTAGCGAACTTGTCCATGACCACCTCTGAGGTCTACCTAGCTGTCACCACCACAGTGATGACCATGGGCATCAATTTTTCACTTTTTACTCTTTTTAGCGTTGTTTTATTTGCGAGTAAGCTTTTCAATACAGTGTGGTGCGTAGTGTTCAATTATTCACTTTTTCACAGTCAAGTGAGGGTACCTTCGCGGATTACTTTTGCGTGTGCTCGTCGCTTTTCAAAAATGGTGCACGCAATAGATATCACGTGTCTTCATTTCATCAGGCATCATGTATATTTATAGCGTTCTAGTATTATTTACCCATTCGACGCAGTGATTCATTCAGCTTGATGTTTATTGTATTGTGTGCAACGTTATAAATCTCTGCTTTAAAACTTGACACCGTGGTTTCACAAGGTGCATTTATTTACAAAAATGTATGCCATCTTAGCATTGGCATTAGCATGAATAAAATAGCTTTCTTACAAAGGTACGACTTGAAAAAAAAGACTGCGTACATATAATTTTACATTACTTCAGCAATTACAAAAGAACATATTCTATTTGTAACGCTAGACTATCTGTTTCACTATGGGTTGTCCCGTTCGAAAGGAACAGTGTGGTGGATGTGCCTCAGGAGGACACGAAGTGTAGTTTGTGTGCGTTGCTTATACAGGAAGCGAGAAGACAGGGCTCAGGCTTAATGCAGATGACTGTAACTAATGTCGGCAACTTCAGGATGGCAGCAGCGATGAAAATGATACTGGTGCACTGCTGCTACAGTGCTTGACTTTGGACCTGAACCACACGGGCAGGATCGAAGTTTCTAAGGTGAACTTCAATCAACGTGGAATTCAAGAAGTCTGCGTAGCATTTACATGCACAATAAAAAAACATGAGGTGTTCAATTTTTGCAAAGACCTGAAGTTAAGTGTTCCTCGTAATCATATTGTGGTTTCAGCTGATAGAACCCTCGCAATTATTTTAATTACAAAAATCCTTTACCAAATTTGTTCCTTCCCAGTAAGTGGTCTAGACTCTGTTGATGCTTCATATATTCTTGCTAAGTTTCTGGAAACACCATGGCAGTTGATCGCATAAAATGTCACGCTACTAGACTTGTGGACCATTACTGCTGCAATGGTTGCGAAAGCACCTGAGGTGAAAATGCAGAAACATTGGTTTACTTCATATTAGATTGATGTTAAAGAACCACGGATCATCAAGCTCTTGCAATGCAGCACAAGTATTTTAACACTGTGGTTGCTGCTGCAGGCCGTGCAATCACGGGGCATTCTTCTTAGATACTGCAGGTATTGCTGCCTTGTAGTGCCAAACAAGCTTATAACAGTTGTGGATAGATTGCCCACACAAGTACACTTAGTGTGCTGACTTTCCCAGTATAAGTCGAGGTTGGAGGTCATCATCGAAAGAGCGGCAGTGCTCGCTGTTGTTGTCACCTCTGTCATCTCTGAGACAGTTATAGCCTATGTCTCCTTCAAAACACAGGTTGTGCAACACTGCACATGCAGCAACAATACTGGAAGAACATTCAGGTGAGTAGTGGGGGGGTACAAATTGGCTCTTCAGTAGCCCTATAGACTGCTCCACTATGAAACGTAGTGAAGCATGTGCGAGTTGTACTTGACTTCTGTACAATTTACGTGAGGACGACCTTTCACGAGGACCACAAGCCAATGCTCAAGGGGGTAGCCATTCTCGCTTGCATAAATATGAATTGTATTGCAAATACTGCTAAAATGACCGTGATCTTTCGATGCTCGTTGACCCTAGGATACAAACAACTGAATTCGTGGTGCTGACTAGCCTGACATTGACCCAATATTACGCAAAATATGGCTACTAGGATGAGGGTTTCATGACATAGCACATCACTTGACAATACCACAGCAGTTAAGCCGCAGCTGAGAAATTGTGCATCGGTAGCATGTGACATAATGCCACTTCTTGTGGCACTGAAGTGTTATCAATACCGCGAGGAAATCTTTATATGGAAAAGAAACTGGCATCACACGTAAATTGAAGAGGATAAATTTACTTCTCACTGAGAATGTACTGGCCAGTCAGATTCGCGGACCAACGCAGATGTGGCTGTCTTCATCCAATCCCGGCCTTTGCGGGTCCAATGCAAGGATCGCCATGTCCGCGACGCAAATCTGGGAAAACCAAGAGCAATATGAGTCACTTTTCACTGCGACGAAAAAATGCGCACGATAAAAGGGAAACACCGCTACTTACGAGCATGACGCCTAGAGCAAAATAACCTTCGTGGCACCAGAAGAGCGCCTTCTGCTCACTCCTTGATGTGACGAAGTTGCCGTCAACGCATCCGATCACGCCGGGTAGAGGTCCAAACCAAAGGAATTCTTCATTGAAGGTTGCCTTCTCCTCCACCATTCTCAGGAAGTGAATCCACTTGAGGCGGGTCTCGGCGTTGGCGATCACTCGAGCCACACGTCGAACACAGATTGCTGACCGCGGGCTGCATCGCCCCTACGCTCTCCTCACCTCTTACCGGCGACTTGAAGGATCCCGTGACGAAGAAACGCGGGGCGCACACCTTTGCCGCTCCACTGAGAGTGCCGCCTGCGAATACATCGGCGACTTCGTGGCGCAATCGCATCAGCTTTGCTTCACTCAGGGAAAAGTGACGCCAAAACTGTTCGTTTGGCATGTCAAACACGACCTGAACATCCCTCCGGCGCTTGTTGTAGGCCACGTTCATGTAGCCAAATGTTATAGCGAAGGTTACTGGCTCAGTGGGCACCGCCAATTTTTCTTTTCCGTTTGCGAGGGACTCACTTGCTGGCTGTACCACCAATGCGCGGAACTGATCCCGTTTATCTTTCCATAATAAGCGCATACTTGTCAATTTGACGTCACCTCAACTTGAGCTTCCGAATCGTCACTTGATCGACAGGTTAAACGACCAATCAGACAGCGTTTACTTTTTCATATTGAGCGCGCACTTGCAATTTTGACGTCACCACAACTTGGGCTTCTGGCTCGTCGTTTGGCTGACAGGTCGAATGACCAATGAGGGAGCGCCAATGGGGGCCAAGACGGAACAAGGCACAAAGATTAGCATTTCTTTATATGGCCACAGCTCTTGATAGACTAGATGATTAGCCTTTGTCAGAACAAACCATTCGGGGTCATTGGCCGAGCTTATCTTCAGCCCAGAAGGCAAGTCTCTAAAGAGTTTGAAACGCTTTTTGCGGACAACTGTCCTGAGAGACAAGCTTTAGTGTCTTATTCTCTTTGATGTTGCCTTTCCTCTGTCGCTATTTTTTGTATTTTCTTGCGCTCTCTCTCCTTTTGCAACATTTTTCTATGATATTTTATTCCACTCACTCTTTTCTTCAGCACAGGGTAGCCAGCAGGTCTAAGAACTGGTAACCTCCCTGTTCATCTGCCTAATCTTTCATTCTCCTCCTATATTGTGCTTATTCTTTTCAAAGAAGATTATCATAACTTCTGACAAATAAAAATTTCTTTCTTTCATATTTTTTCAGGTTTTGAGATTGGTGAGTCTTTGTCTCACTCTGTCATATTTAGAATTTACAGAGGCATTTGTTATATCAAGGGATAAAACTACTATGATCTCGTTGTTCTGGACTGCTTCCACTTTACCTTGTTTTAAATTATATGATGCCCCACTAGCAGATTTGCTGTACGTAAATCCAAACTGATTATCTGGGATAGATGATTGATCTCGAAGTGATGGTACAGCTGATAATAAATCAATTTTACGACATTTTTCCAGAGGATAGAGTTAATGGCTATAGGTCTATCCTTGTTTGCATATTGTTGCTCTTGACTCTGATTTTTCGGGATCAGAATCACTTTTGACATCTTCGAGTCTGCTGGAAATTGGCGAATTTTAAAGCTGCAATACAGATAATATTCAAAAAAACATTTTATGCATGTGATAAACTCTCTCTATAAAAGCCGTCTTTAGTTTATGAGGCCCAAGGTTTGTATGGTTCCTTATCTTCTTCCCGACATAATCCACTTATTTTCCGTGAAGTCTATGTGTTTATACTCTTCATCATGTTCCTCTTCATGCTCTTTATCTTCTCTATCTATCTTTTCAATGTCCTAAATGTTTCAAAGAGCTTAGTAAGTAGGTATCTTATCGTCTATTCCTCAGTAATTGTTATCTCCATTTCCCTTGGTTAAACAATGAAGTATGATTTTCTTTTCAATTTTATTGGCTGGTGGTTTTTACTGTAGAAGGAAGAGTCTTTTCTTGCTTGCCACATTATGTTTGCCATAATTTGATTTTAGCATCTTCTATGTCCTTATGATATTTCTTTTGACCTTTTTGGTATGCTTTCTTATAATCCTCTCTGAGTTCGTTTGTACACCTTTGGTACCTTTGCTGTAGTAATCTTTCTTTCTTTTCTGTTGCAATTCTGCTTTCAACCATGGTTTTTGCTTCTTATCTCATTTGTAATATGCTCTGAATATTTCCTGTTTAATTTTTCGACCTTTCTGTAAAGTTACCTTACTATAGTTTCAAGTTGATTCCCATTTTTCATTGACTTTTTTGTTGTAGTACCGAACCATCTCTCTTCTTGTATTTTCTTTATTAAATTCTTTTCCCTGTTTTTGCCAATGTTCTTCTTTCTTGGTTTTGACTTTGAAAGTTTCTTTTTCAATAAACCGATGGTCGCTAAAGCTTTTCTCCTCATGTACCTCCCAATAATAGATATGTTTACTCTGTGGCGGTGAGCGTATCAAAAGGTCTATCCAGCTTTTGCCGTTTGAGCATTGAAATATTGGTAATGATTGTTAGTCGTTTATAATATTCAGGTTGTTTCTGTTTAGAAATTTTAAACTTTTTCTGTCTTTTTGTGTTGTTGTTTTTCCTCCCCAGATGACGTTTGTCGAATTAAAGTCCCCGATAATAATAATTTATCCGTTACTTGGGGGTTATTGAGGATACCTTCTATATCTAGTAGTAAACGAACTGTCTCTAAAAGTCACGGAAGATAACAATTTATTGTCAGTTATTCTATCATGTTCTAGGCCAACCTGACTATTAGTAATGTTTTCTTTTATTTTTATAGGAGAGATTCCAGTTTGCTCGTTGTGCACTATAATTTCGCTTTTGGGTTTTCATTTGATTGAATAACTCTGGTTTTAACAGGGAAGCCGATAGCCTTAATTTCAAGGTGATAACGTTCTTGTATGAATGAAATATTCTATTTCAGATCAAGTTGAAAGTTATTCAGATTTTTTGTCGCTTTAAAGGAGCGGCCAAATTAATTTGAAGGCACACCAGTGTGTTGTTATTCTCTATTAATAAATTTTTACACTGGTATAGGAAGGTGTAGTTTTCCTCCTTCAGTTAGTTTTAGCTGTACTCTACTAGTATTAGTTATGTCTAGCCAAGATGAAGCTGGTCTCCAAACTCTTCTTTTGGTATCTTTTATCATATGTGGGGCATGGCCCTTCCCACATCAAATGCTCTACCTCCTCTTTCCCTGCATTCAGCACAAGAAACATCTCTGCTACTTTGCTTTACAATCTTTATAGTAAGTTTTTTGCTCCGCACTCTGTGCAACATGCCTTCTTTGCGAAACATTTGCCCTCTTTGTGTGCTAATCTTGAACAGTACGTGCACTTGGGTGATACACGTTCTCAAACTTGCAACATCTCGACCAACTGACGCAAACACTTCGTCTCTGCGCTATTTCGTTAGCCAATTTTGGGTTGAAGATGCGCAGAGCTATCTGCGAGACAAAGTTTTTATCTGACCTCTAAGCCACCTGTATGTCTTGCGCATATTCATCCATCTCGTTTTGTTCGAGTATCGTTTGTAAGTTGTCTACGGAGTCGACAATTTTATCAACTACGGTAAGCCTGAATTTGAGGTGTAGCCCTTCTACTATTTTCGTCTCGAAAAGTTTGTTTTTGTCATGCTCTGTGAGCTTTTATTTCAGCTCCTTTATAGCGAGTGCCGAAAACGTAGTCACCGCTACTCCTGCTCTAATGTACCTGAGCCGTACGTCTTTGAGGCCGGAACCGTTTCACTGAAGTCTTTTACCAAAGTATTTCTAACCTCCCCATGGGTTACCTCTACGTCATCCTTGGGCGCCAGCCTTAGCTACAGTTGGTTCTGCATATGAACTTCAGATCAGTTTCTTTTTTTTTATTTTGAACCAGAACCACCTGAATTGGCGTGCGCCACCGCGCGCGCCGATACAGGCGTCCGTGGTACAACATACCCAAATAGTTCACAGAGTCAACTTTCGAAATGAAGTCCTGTATATACGCAATGCCGACAGAAATTGAACTTTCTATAGGGAACGACAGGAGAATACTCTTGTTAACTTATAGAGCCATTTAGAGCTACTGAAGTCACAGTTTATGTTCAAGTAGATTTGCATTTTTGTAAAGAGAAGAAGTATTACATTCAGCTGCGAAAAATACTCTACATCAGCATGCACACAGGCATAGATCTCTTCACAGGTGGGTGTGGAACTCATTAATATAATAAATGAAAGTGGAGAGAAAACTACTTCTTGGAGAACTCAGCGACTTTTTCTGCATTTAGATGATGAGCCACGATTTTTGACACAATAATATTTCTTCGGTTTTAACAACTATAATTACCAGACTGTTATATACTGTGGATAATTAAGGTCATTAGCCTGTTAAGTAAAATAAAATATTCATTGTTATCGTGTGCCTCAGCAATATCAAGTGTTGTAAGGGCCACGTAGTGCCTCATTTCCTTTTTTGAAACACAAACAACTGGTGAGAGAAAGGAAAGAAAGTGATGAAGTGTAGATTTGCAGGGAAAGACAAAAATGAAGAATTAGAAAAAAAGTGATCGAGAAAGTATGATCCGGAGAAAAAGAAATGTACACACGGAAACCAAAATAAAAAAAAGTTTGAAAAATAAAGCACGCGAAGTTAGATATGAAGTTTAGGAAACTCAACTTTTTTTGTTTGTTTGCAATGTACGGCCTTATATAGCAATAATGTGACCCACGCATTCTTTCACGTTTTTGTTTGGCTAGTAGGACGAGTTTTTGGAGACAAGAAGAGGAGCAGCTAGACCTGTTTTCGTAATCGGTGCGCAACGTGAACTTTCTACCCCGAGTGCATTTTGCTGAATATGCAGACTGGCATTTTCTTTAGGCTTGCTGGTTGAAAATTGTTCCCACGGTTCAAAACTACGAGGTGCAGACTTTTTGTTGAGCACGTGCAGGATTTACTGAGTGCACGTGCCTTGTGTTTGTGAATGCACGAAGGCGCAGTTCTGCGCTACTATTTTGATTTTGTTTGCACTTTTATAAAATATGTTTTGACGGCAAACAATGCTCTTCTGTTGATATTTCTTCTGTTACCTGTTTTGAAAGCCTACTAACAGAAATAAAACTCTACAAAATGCTGTGTTGGGCCCTTGGGCCTGTTAGTTCATTCTCAAATAGATTTCAGCGCAAATAGACAGCACCAAAGAAGTGAGGGCGACTGTATGAGTGCCCACTAACAACTTGTTTTACTTAGAAAACACACGAAAATATAACTTTCGGTGCACAGAGGCCTGCCTACGTACATACCCAGCTATAAAATATAAAAAAATCAATATGAAAAAGAGCTTATGTCAAAGGATTTCTTTTTTAAACACAGGGCCGGAAACACTATGCGCTCACGGCCTACGCCGCAACGGCAAACAGTTATACAATGTGAGAATGGCTGCCCATTATTCGGTGTGGAGATTGAACAAACCATGATTGCGAGCGACCATCTGCACAGATTAGGGTATGATCGTGCGAATTGTAGAAAACACGTGACTTCGGTTTCACGAAATGGGAACCTCTCAGAACTGCTACTTTCCAAATTTCTAACTTCCAGAGATGCCTGCATGACCCGAGCAAACGTTCACACGATCGTTTACTCGGAGCTTGAGAACTTACTATGCGCACGTTTTGAACCCAGCCGAGCAAATCTATAGGTTGTCTGAGATCGACCATCATCAACTGTATCGGCGAATGAGGTGCTGAAAGTACGGCAAACCAAACCACGCAATCAGGTATATAGAACAGCAGAGTGAAATTCATTTGTTTCAAAGTTATATGTAAATCTGCAATTATTTGAATTAGTGTATAATTTAACGAAAACATGGAACAAACCCCTTTTTCCTCCTCACTGTGAATATATCGTAATTCCATGTTTCTGCCTGACTTGCCCTATTGCCAAAAGAACTTCAAAAAATAAAAAAACTGTTGTCCCTACAATAAGCCAAACATCAATACGAAGCAAATGAAATACAATATTGTGATGTACAATTGATCGTTTTTAGTAGTAATTTTGCGTGCTTCCTGCACATTTGCGTGCTTCCTGCATCACGAAACAAATTGGGCCGTCCGGGACATGATAAATCTGATTCGTTCATGGAAGACCCTAAATTTCTGTGAAAATACGTGGTAACTAGTGCATTGTTCTTAAGCATCGCGAGGTTTCCTGTACCTACGTATAGGACATTTAAATGTTATTTTTTGTTCCAATA